ATAGCACCAGCTCCATGAGATCACAAGGTGTCCTAGCAAGAAGCAGCTGTCACGTCTGTGCGTATTTCTTTTCTCTCTCCGTCTCGCCAGGAATTGGTTATGCTTCCATAGTGATTGTGTCCCTTCTGAACGTTTACTACATTGTGATCCTGGCCTGGGGACTCTACTACCTGTTCCAGTCGTTCCAGAGCGTCCTGCCGTGGGCACACTGCCACCAGAAGTGGAACACGCCGACCTGCGTGGAAGACACTCTCAGGAAGAACAAAACACTCTGGATATCACTGAATGCCACTAACTTCACCTCTCCTGTCACGGAGTTTTGGGAGTAAGTACCCCCTCTTCGTGGTGCCTTTGGGGCGCTTCGGTGGCATGCCAGAGGTCTGGCCTGAGATTTGATGGAAGCCCCATGGGGAATGTTAGATAGGAAAAGAAAATTACTCTGGATGTCAGTTGTTTGACTGATGTTTGCTACCGGTTCTCACCCATCCCGAGACAGGCTGGTCAGTCTGGGACCAGCGGAGGAGGGTATTAGATGTATAACTATGTTCATCCTAGACCATACAGGGAGCCCTACAAACCCAGTGTAATTTCTGGTTTGGAAGAAAAGCTTGTTTCCTTCTTGGTTGGAATTCTCTAAATACACCATGAGAACAGAAACAAGTCCCTTCAGATGCCCTGGGAGCATGGATTTACGATGCAAACAGTGACAAATCACCCCCATTGCAGTTGCCTTTCCCTCTTCCCCAGCTGCTAGTGTTTGCAGGACACTTTGTGAAGCTATAACACATCTCTTATCAGTCTGACAATGAAGTAAGGCATTGACCTCACCAATAAAACTGACAGAGGTGGTGAACGTTGTCCTGACTGTACATTTCTCAGGTCATCTTTGTTACATTATTTTTCTCCGCAGTCCCTGAGGAGAGACTGTTTTGCCAGATGCCTGGATTTCATCAGGCCTAAGCTTCTTATTCCCCCTTCTCTCTTATTTTTCAAGTTTTCAGTTATATTGCATAACCTGATTTCTGAACAGGCATGACCTCAAATCTCTGTGTGTTTCTATAGGCATCAAAACATAGCAGTAGAGGAAGACCACTGTAACGAAACGTTTTTTTCGATCTACAAATAGCTTAGGAAGAATTTTTTTTCTTGGCTTGCTCAGTCAATTAAGAGCAAAATTAGTTTCTGACCCAGCTTGGCTTTTTCAGCGTGTTTAAAGTCCAGTTTGGTTCCTGATCAACTTGTACCTACTTCTCTATTTTTAAAAAGAAGTGTCAGCCAATAGGCCCAGCAGGA